AAGCAGGTAAGAAATCTCTAAACATTCTCAGAGAATTGCAGCAAAGGCATCTTGGGATCACAAAGTTTCACAGCTACTAGTAGATGCTGCCTCACAACCCATTATTAGGGAAGCATGCCTGGAAAAGGGAAGATTGAGCTTTTCAGCAACAAACTCCCCAGGAGGTGGTGGCATGAAAACATAATAAATTCTGTGGAGAAGCCACCTCGGACCCAGTGTCGAGTGTGATGGAGAACACATGATTCTCTGGGCTTGTTTACCCCACGATGGCTCGACGGGCGTTGATCTTATTAATTCTGAAAATGGGACGTTGTGAGTAATAACCTGAAGGATTTTACTAAGTGACTGGAAATGGGTCGTCACTTGGTGTTTCAACTGGAATCTGGTGCAAATCAACAGAGAGACGGTTCAAAAGACACTCATTCAACGGTGCCATTTCAGTGTCCAGTGTAAGAGGAGACGGCAAAGAGCAATGGTCAAAGATCACTCTCTGTTTATGGTCCAACCTTGTTAAATAGTGGTAGTAGTAGATTATGCTGCAAAGCCCACCTTTCCCCACCATCTCAACCAACAAAAACCACTTAAACGTTTACCAGGAGTGAAAATAAGTGAGGTTTTTACAAAAGAAGTTTTGGTAAAGATGGAAGGTCAGAAAGTAGGTTAAAATATGTGTGTACTATTTGAATGAGTGCTTTTTTTAAAATGCTTGTTTCAGTACTCTCAGTGGATCTTGTCAGTTGAAGTAATGCTGACAGTAAGAAAATGCAGAAATTGTGCTATCCCAGTTTTTTGTAAAGAAGTATATGTCAATAACATCTGATTGTTGTTGACCTAGAAAACGGTGCATCACAGAACATGTTGTTGGTTGTTGCTGATTGACAAAAACTGGTCGGAATTTCTAGTTTTGATGGATTTGTGAGTGAGAAAAGCTGTATTTATTCAATTTCAGGCTCTTCTTTGTCTTCTTGATTAATTGGTGCATTTCTAGATAATTCTCTTTTTTTATAAAATAAACAAATAGGCCTGTCACGATAACAAATTTTGCTGAGCGATTAATAGCCTCAAAAAT